ACCTACAGTAATCAGAACAATGTGGTATTGGCAAAAGAACAGACAAATAGATGAATGGAAAGGAATAGAGAGTCCAGAAATAGACCCATACAAATATAGTCGACTGATCTATGACAAAGACCCAAAAGGCAATGGAGAAAGAATAGTATTTTTGATAAATGGTACTGGAACAACTAGACATTCACATGCATAAAAATGAATCTAGAAAATGACCTTGTATCTTTTCACAGAAGTTAACTCAAAATGGACCATAGACCTGAATGTAAAATGCAAAGCTCTAAAACTTCTGAAAGATAACAGAAGAAAATCTAGGTGACCTTGAGTTCGGAAATGAGTGTTTAGACTTGGCACTGAAAACATGCTCAACGGAAGAAAAAAAAAAGATAGGTTGGACTTCATTAAAATAAACAATTTGTGTTTTGCAAAAGACCATGTTAAAAGAATGAAAAAACAAGATACAGACTGGGAGCAAAGATTCACAAAACGTGTTTGATAAAAGACTTGCATCCAAAATATACAAAGAACTTTTAAAACTCAACAAGAAGACAATCTAATTAAAAAGCAAGTAAAAGACTTAAACAGACATCTCACTAAAGAAGATGGCAAATAAGCACATGAAAAGGTGTGCCACATCACACATCATTAAGGAAATGTGAATTAAAATAAAAATCTGATATCACTTCGTACCTGTAGAATAGCTAAAATCCAGAACACTGACAACACCAAATGCTGATGAGGATGTTGAGCAACAGAAATTCTCATTCACTGCTGACGGGAATGCAAAATGGTAGAGCCATTTGCAAGACAGTTTGGCAGTTTTTTACAAAGCTAAACAAAGATTTTGCATATGATCTAGTGATGGTGCTCTTAGTTATTTACCCAAATGAGTTGAAAACTTATGTCCACACAAAACCCTACACAAAAATGGTTATAGCAGCTTTATTCATAATTGCCAGAACTTGGAAGCAACCAAGATGTCCTCTGATGGGCAACAGATAAACTGTGGTCCATCCATACAATGGAATATTATTCAGTGATAAAAAGAGATGAGCGATCATGCCACGAAAAGACATGAAGGAACCTTCAATTCGTATTGCTAAGTTGAAGACATCAGTCTGAAAAGGCTACCTAGCATATGATGCCAACTATATGACATTTTGGAAAGGGCAAAACTATGGTGACAACAAAAAGCTCAGTGGTTGCCAGGGGCTGGTGGAGTACTGAGGGCATTTAGGACAGTGAAACCCTTCTGTATGACACTGTAATGGCGGATCCATGACTTTTGCATTTGGCAAAACCTACGGAATGTGCAACAGAAAGTGAACCCCACCTAGCCATAAATTATGGACTTTAGTAAATAATAATGAATCAATATTGGTTCATCAATTGTAACAAATGCACTACACAACGCAACATGTTAATAATAGAAGAAACTGTGGGGTATGGAGTGGGGTGTATATGGAAACTCTCTGTGCTTTCTGTTAATTTTTCCTGTAAACCAAAACCTGCCCTAAGCAACAAAGCCTATTAAGTATACACTTTAAAAAATGATACATATCACACATTCAGAATAGTACCTGGCATATAACAAGTGCTATATAAATATTTATTGCATGGAAATGAGTAAGGGTGCAGAGCTGGGATATCTCCAATAGGACTCCAGAATCAGATTTTCATTCTCCGGACACTTACACGCACTCTCACCGGGAGAATCTCCTCCACGGGTCCGTCCTGTTATTTGCCAACTCTTCATCCTATTTACTTCTAATCGCTAATAGAATCTACGCGATCTAAAGTGCTCCCGCTTATTTGTCTGTGTGTTTACTATCTGCCCCCCAACTAGCCTGTGGGTGCCATGAGATCGGGGGCCAGGGCGCCTGTGCTTGCCTCTGTCTCCCCAGCAGAAGACATGTGCAGGGGTGCTGGCTGGGCAGTGTGTGTTTGGGGAGGGGGTCTCTGTGACGTGGTTCTGTCCTGGAGAAGCTGGCGGTCCAGTGAGAGCAGGGGCAGGGATGCACGCAGTGGAGCTGAACAGCACGCTAAGTGTCCCGACAGGGGAGTGTCGGGAAGCTAGGCACAGCAGTGGGGAGGAACAAGAGCTTAAATCTGGTGGAGCCAGGGAACTCAGGGACACATCCCTGTAGAGATAACCCAGGGGCCTGGAACTGAAGTTCATTTACTTGTCAGAGACTGTTCTGGAAGGGGGAACAGCATGGGCAAAGGCTGGAAAGCGTAACACAGAGCAAGGCCTATGACTAGAATCCTGGGATGTTCAGAGCATCCAGAGCGTCCGGAGCAACCAAATGCGTCCATTTGGTAGGGCGGTAGGGACAGACCACAAAGGTCTTTGGTCACTTCTTCCCCAAGCAGAGACTTTCTCTCTCACTGGGGGCCCTGGACAAAACAGCCCCTTGAAGGACAATTTAGGACACCTCATCCCCTGGGCACACTGTTCAACCACCACGCCGTGTCCGACGGAGGAGGGCCGGAGAGAAATCAACTGGCTGCCTGGTGCTGCTTGGTGGGAAAATGACAATAAGGTCGACAAAGCAAAGGGTTCTGCTGCCATGGCAACAGCATGACAGGGCAACCCTAAAAATAAGAGGAGGAAAAGAGGAGCAGGCCAGAAAAGGTTCACAGAGAAATCTCAGCAGATACCTGGAGGGAAACTGAGACAGAGTGTCTGGGCTGAAAGCCAGGGAGCTGGCTGTCCTCCAGGCCTCACCTTGGAAAGTCTGGATGCCCCTTGGCAGGAACGTCCCCTCCCCAGACTCAGTTTCCTCATCTACGCAGTGGGGCATTTCCATGGCCCCCCTCGGCTCCTCTGTTTGAGACCCGTTGCCCTGGAAGGTGGTGCATGGGCCAGGGTTCTCTGCACAGAGCCACCGAGAGCCTCCGCACTTACTTCAGAAAGGAAGGAAGAAAGGTAAGGTCAGTGATAGCAAACTGTCACTTACGCTAATCCGACTGCACAAGGTTGATCTCCTTTAAAGGGTCCAGGGGGACTGGCTTCCCGGGTCCACTTCCCGGAGTCTGCTGACTCAGGCCGACGCCAGCCCTGCGGCCTCTCCGTGCCACAGCCAGAGTGTGGGGGACCCCTGGTGCATACTTGGCCTCCACCTTAACCTTGAGTGGAGGTGGCAGCGGCTCGTCTCTCCAGCCACCCCACCCCGGCAAGGCTGTGAGCCAGTGGACGGGTCTGGCCTCCGTCCACCCGCCCAGCTCCAGTTCTTCAGGCCAGCTCTGCGCACCTCGCTTTCTCCCTCCCTGACATCCTGGGCCTTCGGTCTGGCCGGCGCTCTAACCCGAGCCCTCACCCGCACAAAGTGAAAGCACTTCCCTGCCCACTTCACAGATCTGTGCCTACGGCCAAGGTCTGTGAGAGGCCCTAAAAACTGCAAAGCGCCATCTGTGTGCTGAAAGGCAGGGAGGGGAGTGTGTGAGAGGGTAGTTAGTGGTGTTGCCACTAACCTGCTAGGTAGCCTTGGGTCACTTAAAGAATCTCTTTGGGCTTCTGTTTGCTCATCACTAAAATGGGGCTAAGGGGGGGGGCACCTGCAGTACAGTTACTGTGAGGATTCCGCGAGTTAACGCGCAGAGCTGGCTACCACCACCATTGCTGTTGCGGTTATCGGCGTTAGGGTTGGTGATGAGCAACCCCCGGGCCTCCCTAGCCCAGAGGCCCACCTAGCCATGACAGTTCTTCCTCCTGTTGACACCCCGTCCGGATTTCCAACTCCTGGCGGTGGAAGAGGAAGTCTCCAGGGTGGAGTGGGGTGGGGCAGGACAGCTCCTTTGCCAACTGTGGGTCATGAGTAGTGACCAGGCGTCACCTCCCCTCTGGAGCCTGTCTGCCCCAGTGACCTCCTGCCCCCTCGGCCCACGGGTACAGCCCGCGTCTGGGCCTTCCTCCTCGGCAGTCCTGGCCGTGCCTGCCTGGAGTCCTGCTCCCTCCCGAAGTGAGGCTGAAGGCCGGGAGACAGAGGCCCCGGCCCTAAGGCTGTCTCCTACATCTGCACGGGCAGGAAGGGGCATTCTCTGCCCCGGCACTGGCTTTCTGACTTCTCCCTGTGCTGGGTAAACCCTCTATCTGTTCCCCTGCAAATGAAGCTGGGCTTCTTATTTGCTAGAAAACCATCTTGTCCAGAAGGGTAAAAACCTCTGTCCCCAGTGCATAAAATGACCAATTCCACATTAGCTTAAGAATCCACACTACATTCCACAAAAAGATTTCTCTAATAATGCGGACACCGGTTCTCTCGGTAGAATTTGCTACACCATATGGAGATCAGGATGCACGGCGCACGCCATTCAAGCCCGGCCCTCTCCCATGAAGGCAGGTTTAACTGTTCTAAGAGCAAGGCAACAAAACCACAACTTCCAAAGGGTCTTGAACTTCCCTAATCTGGAGCATCCTGGGAAGACCAGTGTGAGAAGAGGGTAAGGCTGAACGCAAGACTGTTAAAATATATACTTTTATGTAATTTTATGTAAGGTTCTTTATTTTAACAGAACTCCTCACTTCGAAAATCACATAGTAACTAGAAGGAGCTACCAGAATGTTTACTCCCAAGTAGCACTCCTTAGGGAACTTGCTTAAAAGGAGGTTGAAATTCAATGTATTTCTGGATGGATGAATCCTATAAATGCGGGCTTTGACAACGGGCAGAAAATATACTCATTTAAATGGCCTAACATTTCTTATTTCTGCATATATTAATATCACTAGACAATTCTTTCACTGTGCTTTCCCCAGGAGTGAAGACTTTCTATTTGGCCTTTCTGGAATGTGTCTCAAATGGAACAAAACAGAACTAAATGAGGAGTTTCTGATGGGGAATGTGGGCCCACGTGGAGCTGTGAAGATTCCCCTGGAACAACCTTGATTTCGTCTTAAGCAGCGCCCTTGGGGCGGTCAGGGCGACGTGCTGCCTCCCTGTCCCAGAATGTCTGGGAGCAGCGTCCCCGCGGGCCTCCCTCCTGCTGCCGTGGGCACTTACCTCCATGCTGTACCTCTCCACCGTCCTCCTCAGAGGATCTACAGCCTGCCAGCAAATCAGGATGCACAAGTCGATCAGCAGCATGCCCCCAACAATCACCAGCAGCTTCTGGTCCTTGATGATCTGCAGGGAGGGCAGGGCCAGAAGGCAGCAGACATGAGAGAGCTTCCCCACCAGCAGCTAAGGGGCGGGCTCAGGGGTTTCAGAATCTCTCGAGACTCTCCAACACCCACAGGAGAAATCCAGCCACACTCCTTTGCTTGGCATTCAAGGCCTCTCATGAGCTTGGCTGGACCACTCCCCAGACACATATGTGCACACACTTAGGTTTGAGGACTCCTAGTTTCTGGACCTGCTGTGACTTTCACCGTTCCACCCAAACTCCCACCCCCAGGCCTTTCTAGGTGCCAGTTCTGTTGTCTGAGACATTCTATTCTTTATGTCTGGCAAACTCCTAATGATCTTTAAAGATCCAGATCCTTGTCACTTCTTCCACGAAGTCCCCTCTAACTCCCACAGGAGAATTAATTACTCCTATAGCACTTTGTTCACATACTTAGCCGGAGAAGTCATAGTTACTACTATTAGAAGAACAAGGAGAAGAACAGCTACTATTTAGTGAACATGTACTCTGTGCCTGCCTCTAGGCTGATTAATGGGTTACATATATTATCTCTAATAAAGACAGATACTATTATTATTGCCATTAAAAAAAAGATTTATTTATTTTAGACACAGAGAGAGAGAGAGTACGAGCAGAGGAGGCAAGAGGAGAAAGAGGATCTCAACTAGACTCCACGCCGACTGCGGAGCCCAACACGGGGCTTGAACTCACGACCCCGAGATCATGACCTGAGCCAAAACCAAGAGTCGAACGCTCAACTGACTGAGCCACCCAAGTGCCCCTAATTATTCCCATTTTATGGATGAAGAAACTGAGGTTTGTGAGGGGCTAAATAACTTGCTCAATGTCACACAGCTAGTATGAGGTGAAGTCCAGATTTGAACCATGCTCTGCCTTTCTCCAAAGTCCACACCCTCCGACACTTACAGCAGCGACCAGATGCTATAGCGACCAGATGCTATAGTGTTTTATTCTATCCTCCTCAAGAAACTGGGGAGCCCCTGACAGAAGGGAAGCTGATTTTATTTTTTTGTGCACCCTCAGCAGGGCCTGGCAAGCCGTAGGCACTTAAAGGTTTGATGGATCCAATTGAGGTGAAGGAATATTAAAAAAAAAAAGAAAGAAATATAATTTCCATCCCTCTTTGCAGCCTGGGATGTCTTAATTACATGGTGAAACTCCCACCCCATTTTATGTCTATTTGACAGGGACTGGCCTGGGGACAAACACGGCCAGCTCCAGAGATAACCTGTATTTCATTCATGGCACGGTTATGTGCCTCCTCCCCCAGCAGCGAACGTGATGAAGTCGTTCTGGAAGACACTATAGAAAAACAAACAAAACGGAGGCAGAAGCTTAAGAAATATCACCAGGTCCAGCTTTTAATGATTAAAGCCATTTTCAAAGGAGAAATAGGAACTCAAGAGGCCTCTGTGTTGCCGAATTGTAAAAGAACAGGAAAATATTGCTGAGTTCCTGCCAAAGAGATCAAATCCACCAAAACTGCTTTATGTGGAGGCTGGGCACTGGCAAAGCCGCCTCTTTTGAGATTTTCCAGAGGCATCCAGGGAACCCCTGATGCTTTGCAGAAATCCTACTTAACCCTTGCCCTCTGGGGAGCTAGGCAACTCCCTGCTAGCCTTAAGGAAGTGGGGCAAAAGGAAGACTTGCCCAAGGAGCTCAGGACATGGAGGACAGGCTGGAAGGGGCCTCTCTACTTAATGCTCCCCCGGGGCTGTTTGAGCCCCCAGGCACGTGCCCACACTGTGCCTGACCCTGGAAGTTCCTTCTCCCACGTTCCTGCTGGTACCCCCCTACCCTGACCTCAACACTGAGCCCGAGCAGCTGCTCCTCAGGGATCCCAGGCATGCCCTGCACCAGGTGCGGGCTGCAGCCGTGTTCCGGTCAGCGAGGAGGTAGGGACCAACTAGTCTCCCCTCTGTGCCCTGGCGCCTTGTACAGAGGCTGGCTCTCAGACGTTCCTGGAGAATGTTTGGGGAATGAATGAATGAGCCTCAGGAAGAAGCCAGGAGAAAGGGGCACTGTAAAGTCAAGGTCCCTGCCTCCTGCCCGGGGCTCGGGTCCTACTTCCCATGGGACTCCTGTTGCTCTAGCTTCTTACCCTCCTCATCTGACAGCCCCCAAACCCTTCGGGGCACACACCTTCGTCTCCTTGTCCTCGCTACAAGGCTGGGGGACAGTCACTGGAGTTTATGGCCACACTCATTGCCTTTGGAGACCCAGTGACAGTTGCACCTTCACGTTTATTTGTGTGATCATTTGGTTTGTGTCTCTCCTCCCTTCTGGGCTGTGAACTCCGTGTGACTTGGTTTTGCTCATCACTGTATTCTTAGAGCCTGGCTGAGGCCTGGCAGAGAAAAAACGCCCCCTAAGCTCTGGTCGATGATGATGGCCTAAGAAAACATGCCCCGAGCACCCACTCCGTGCCGGGCCTTGTGCTGGGCATCAGAGATGCAGAGAAGGACAGACACCGTTGTTGCCCTCCAGGGGCCCCGAAGGTTGGGAGGAGAGGCAGACTTGCGTTGGATGAATCCAAGAGGGTGCGGGGAGGTGATGAGGTGGCTTCACGGAGGAGTTGCTGGAGGCCACTGGGGAGAAGGGACGTCAGACAGAGGAAGCAGCTGGAAGAGCTGAGGGGCTGGGTCAGGGGAGTGACCGCATCATGTCACCCCTGGTTCAGGATTCTCCTGTGACTCCCCATCACCTGGGTGATAAATCCAGCCAAACTCCTTTGCTTGACATTCAAGGTCTTTCCCGAGTTTGGCCTGACTACTCCCCAAACACAAACATGGTCTTGTTAATGCTTAGCCACTCCCGAGTCTCTGGCTGAGTTGTGATTTTTTTCCCTCCAGATCTTTGTAGGTGCTGGTTCTTTTGTCTGAAACGCCCTGGTCTTTCTGTGAGGGGTTCTGTGTGAGTGGGGTGGGTGGGGTGGCTGGAGAGGGGGTTAGCTGGAGGGGGAAAGCCTGCATGACACTGGAAAGGGGCCCCTACATGGGGCTGCTGGAGGTTGAAGCATCATGATGGGGAGTTCTCTGCAACATGGAAGGGTAGAGCCGAGGAGGGGAGCCTGCAATAGGAGGCCAGTTAGGAGTTGGTGCAGGCGTCCTGGTGAGCAGGGAGGAGGCTCGATTCAGAGTAGTGACTATCATGATGGTCAGGAAGATGATGGTGCCACAAATACCAGGCAGGTGGAGTTGCTGGGTTCAGCCTCTGAGTTCTCTCTCCTTCCCCAAACCTCCCCCACCAGCAAGGGTCGTCACCTCCAGATCCCCTGAGACAACAGATCTATGACTCTTCACGGTCTACCTTCCAGGAAGCAGTGACCTTGAACATGCTCAGCACTGATTATCATGTCGGTGCACACTGATGCCATCACGTTGAGCGCTCTCTCTGAAGCCAGGAGCTTACTAGCGCTCCAGTCTCAGTGGGTGTAAAGGCATACAGTAATAATGATTCAGCTCAGGTTCTGGAATTAGATTTGAGTGTGAATCTTACTAATGAGCTATGTGGCCTTGGGTAAGTTTCTTAGCTCATCTACAAAATGGGGGCACTAATCACATAAACTGTCTTAGATTACCAAAGTCTGGTTTATTATAACTGTTCAACGGCTGTCGGCTATTATTACTAAATGTCACTTTCGATCGTTGTTTAGAGCAGGGATCAGCAAACTATGGATTTGGCCCACTGTTTGTTTTTGAAAATAAAGTTTTATTGGAACACAGCCATATCCATTCATTTATGTATTTGTCTATGGCTGCTTTCATTCTCCAACAGCAAGAGTTTAGTGGTTACAACAGCAATTCAACAGCCGGCAAAGTCCATATTTGGCTATCTGGCTTTTTACAGAAAAAGTTGTCTGATTCCTGAAAAGAGCATTGGTTTATTTCTTCAGAAATAGAGCATTGGTTTATTTCTTCAAGAGACTTTAGATATTTTGCTGATTCAGACTGGCCTTCTGCTAGGACCAACTCATTGCCTAGTCTCAAGGACACCATTCCAGGGGAGTACAGAGTGAACGGTGCCCCAGGAGTTGGGCAATGCATATCACTCAGACGACTGGTGCTCTCCGGTGAAGCTGCTGAAAGCTCTCTCTTGGCATTTTGCTGAAGTTGAGCCCACAGGAAGGTCTGTCCCCATGTTACCGTCTGCAACAGTATTACCAAGTCACATGTGAACTTGCTTTTTTTTTTAATTAACAAAATTTTTAAAAGTAATTTCTACAACCGACATGTGGCCCAAACTCACTACCCCGAGATCAAGAGTTGCCTGCTTCACTGACTGAGCCAGCTAGGCGCCCCTGTAGTGAACTTGCATTGTCCTCCAAAAAAATATCTGCCTCCAGAACAAAAGATCTCATCTCTGCTCTTGTCTCAATGTCTCTATTTGGTCCTATTAAGATGCAGACTAAAGACTGTAGTAAGTCTTCCAATTCAAGATTTTATGATTGAGCTTTAGAAAAAAAACAGTAACATGCCATAAAAACACCAGATTTGGAAGCATTAAGTCCCCACATGTCACTATGTCCTTTAATAGGCTTCTCTTCCTCTAATGTCTTTAAAAATGTGGCCATATGGGGTGAAGTTTGTGTTATGTGTGTTGGGGAGGGCATGCCATTGTGAGTTGGGGGAGGAGGAGGCACGAGCCAGGGAAGGAAGAGAAGGATAAAAAGACTATGAAAACAAGTATATATTGCATTTGCAAACTTATGTAAATCCAGTAAACATGTCAGTAAAAAAAATGAAAGGACCCATCTTAAAAAAAAGAGTCTAAACTTTAAAAGAAACCAATAAAACAAGACAACAACAATAAAAACCAACCTTGGCTAGCTACATAAAGGGTTGGACTCGTGGAGAATTTAATTCCAGTTTTGACCTGTACTTCCACAACCCTTTTAAGACAATCTGGTTCCCTGACTTGGGGATTTTAAGGTATAAATTTCTCTTCTACACCTTTAACCTCCTCTTCTTTGTTGATAAGGGATGGTCGGTGGCAGCACTGCAAACCTGTTCTGGAATAACTAGAAAGCAAAACTAGAACAAAAAGTTTCTCCCCCTGGGATGGTGTGTTCATCTAGCCTTAGTCGTTTTCGGACCAGACAAAACTGGTGACCAAATCTTGTACTCAAAGCCTTTGGCAGTTTCTCAGACAAGCCCCTTCCCAGGGCCCCTGGCCCACCGCCAGCCTGAGTTCCAGCTGCCTTGCTCTGGCCCCCCAGAAGGTGTGGCCACACCACAGCCCCGCCCCCTGCAGAGCTCTCGGATGACTGAACTCCCCAAGTCTTCCCTGACATGGTTTGTCAATTGTTGCCAGACAACTGGGAGTCTTCTTGCTCAGCGATCACATGAGTAATGGAAAACAAGGGCCGGTTCTTTATTACTGATGACAATATGGATGAATCACATATTGACACAAAGGAATCAACACTGTGATTCTTTGAAGCCAGGATGGAGTTGTTATAAATGGCAGAGCAATTCTAATCACAGCCACCACGCAGGAGGGGCCCTAGAAGTCACTTGGTCCCTTGGTGCGCTCCCACTTTGGCTTGCATCTGCATGGCTGGGGGTGCTGGTGAGAGAAGGCAGGATCCTGGGCTCCACCCCAGGATCCTGATTCTTAGGGCTAGGGTGGGGCTTGAAAATCTGCATTTCTTCTCTCTCTCTCTTTTTTTTTTTTTTTTTAAGATTTTATTTATTTATTTGTCAGAGAGAGAGAGAGCGCGAGAGCAGGAACACAAGCAGGGGGAGTGGGAGAGGGAGAAGCAGGCTTCCTGCTAAGAAGGGAGTCCAACGCAGGGCTCGATCCCAGGACCCTGGGATCATGACCCGAGCGAAGGCAGATGCTTAACCAAGTGAGCCACCCAGGTGCCTCTCTGCGTTCTCTTTAAAAGTAGGCTCCATGCCCAGTGTGGAACCCAACGTGGGGCCCCAACTTACGACCCTGAGAACAAGACCTGAGCTGAGATCAAGAGTCGGATGCTCAACTGACTGAGCCCCCCAGACAACCCGAGAATCGGCATTTCGAACAAGCTCCCGGGTGAGGCCTACAATGCTGCTGGTCCAGCGCACACTCGGAGTAGCTCTGATCTAGACCAGAGGTCTTCCGCTCTGGCTGTGTATTAGTATCACCTGGGAAAGTCCTAAAAGCTCCTGATGCTCAGTTCCAGCCCCAGAGAAGTGGTTTCACATGGCTTGGGTTGGGTTACTTCTTGGAGTTTTCAAAAGCTCCCGTTTGCTTGAAATGTGCAGTCAGGACTGAGAAGGACTGGGGGGCCATGCTTCTCATTTTACAGAGGGAAGGGAGTTGTCATAAATGCTGCTGAGGCCCATGAGGGAGGGCCCTTCAGGTGAGCACAGGTAGTGGGTGGCAGAGACTGACTCTTTCCTCCCTCTAAATGCAGCCTGCAGTTTCCCTGAGGTGGTCCAGGTAGGGGGCAGGGGGCAGAACAGAGAGGACAGTCCTCCCTCATCCGGACAGCAGCTCCTAAAGCAGCCCCGGCAGGTGGAGGGGCTGATGAGTGAGTGGTGCCACTGGGCACCGGGCAGAACCACAGCCCAGGAGACAGTACCATTTCAATATGGCCCCATTTCACAGATAAGGAAATGGAGGCCCTGAAAGAGGAAGACGTCTGCTCAAAGACCCACGGCAGGTCAGATGCTCCAGGGGGCGGAACAAGAGGGGCGGCTGCTGCAGTGGGATCAACCCCTCGAGTCCGTGTGGGGGAAGGATGCACGCATGCCTCCTGTGCACCAGATGTGGCCGGGGGCGGGGGAACCGCCACATGGTCCCCTGGGGGAGTACGGCACCCACGTCAAGGGCGCTGCCGGAGGGAACGTTCCGGATCTGGGGCCTTTGAAAAACCCACAAAAGCCCCCTAGGAGAGTCTAAAGGGTGTGCTTAACCAGGCCTAGCAAGCGCCATGGCAGCTCCTTCCATCGCTCCAAGCTCCAACTCCAGAGGGTTCGGAAACCTTGGGATGGGGATGACAGGGAAACAGCTCAGGCTTGCAAAGGAGAGAAGCAGCCCAGCACACCATCTCTCCCAGGCGGGGCAGCTGGCCCGCTGCAGGCCTGAGCCGGGGGACGCTGTGCCTTTGAAGGCAGTTTGAAGTTCTGAATATTATGACGGACTCCACGTGTTGCTGGGCTGGCCAGAGGGCCTTCAAAGTCATGAGACTCGTCTTTTTCTCTAGAAGCATGGGAAGAACTGTGCCACCAGAAGAGTTAACACGACAGTGGTGGAGAGAGTTTCTCTAGGATTACATCCTAAGAGTCAAGTCGAGTCAACATTCTGGTTACACGTAACCACATGGGTGGCAAACGCTCTCTACCCACACCAAGGCCGGGCCCCTGTTCTCTCAGGGCCTCTGTGAAAATGGAAGCATTACATTTGGTCTGTGTCCTGTTTCACTCCCCTCTTGTAAGGGCTCCTCACTGCCCACAAGTTAAAGTTCAGATTCCTTTCTGTGGCTCGTCTCGTACCCTGTCCTGGCAAACACCATGTCCTGGCCGCAATGAGCCTTTGCCAGCTCTGGGAACACACCCAGTCCCTCCCCAGGCCTCCATGCGTGCAGCTCCCTCTACAGGCCTCTGCCTAGCTAACCCCCACTCATCCTCCAGGTCTCAGCACTGGGGGCACTTCCTACATGAAGCCTTCCCTGAGTGCTTGTACCCCCAATGCCCCTAGACATTTCCAGCCAGCCTTTACCACTGTGTGTTGTAAATGCTTTGTTAGCTGTTTGATTTCACTAGGAGGCTGAAGGTGCTGGGGATGGGCACTGTGTGTAGCTTGAATCCCCAGCAAATAGCCCAGGGCTAAGCACATTGTAGGTGCCTAATAATATTTGCTAAATAAACGCCAAGTGAACATTGCAAACATCCTGAAACAGGAGTGATTACCTTCTTCTTCATTTTCACATTTTTGAAGATGGCGTGGACCCTCCATGTCTTTGCAAACATTGCCCCAAAGGCGGTTGTGTAGCCCACGGTGAGAATCCAGGTCCTGACCTAGAGGCCATGAGAAAACAGAGACATTAACAACTCCTAGGTGGACTGACCTCACCATTTATGAGCATGTCCCAACAGGGAGATTCTAGGTGATGTCTATCTTACATTCTGTAGAGTTTTACTATCATCAAGAGTCCTTCAATCACATCTCAATTTGATAGACAGTTCTGTCAGCCACTCTCTAGACCCAGGGCCCTGGGCACAGGGGCCTGTGAGGTTCAAATTCTGCCTTCCATGGGCCCACAGCCCAGAGGGAGCCAGTCACAGAAGAGGCACAGAGGCGCCCAGGAGCACTGAGGGGTCACTGAGGGACTACAGACCAGCCTTCTGGTCTTCCCCCCTCCTTCCCTTCCTTCTTTAGAGCCTTTTAGATGAGGAGACAGATCTGCAGAGGTGAACATAATCGCTGACTTCCTGTCTCCTCACCTGAGTCCGTAGGAGACCAGATGGCCCCAGGAACCTCTTCAATGGGACTCCCAGCTCCCGGGTTGTGGGCAGCAGATAGGGGAGGGCACTGAACCACAGGGGCTGAGACTGGGCAGGAGAACCAGCCTGCTGTGGTCCTTCTCCAGGGCTCAGCAAATCCACCACTCTGGAGGAGCATGGCAAGACTCAGCCAGAGCTGGCCCCAGGGACACCTTGCTGGCAGCTGCACCCAGGCCAGCTCCAGACCATTGCAGGGGCTGTTCAGTTCGGGAGGAAGACCGGAACAGAAGGGCCATGACCTTCCTGCTCCCATTAGGGGCCTGCCTCCTTGGGTCTTGGGAGAAGAGAGAAGCAAATGCTGCCTGGGTCCTACCATCCAGCCCCATCTGCCATGGTTGCTGTGTGGTTCCTACTGCACTGTGTGACCCCAGAGTCTGGATACTCAGCACCAGGCCAGCCTGGCCCCTGAGCCCACCATTGGACCTTAGGTTCCTGCTCAGACTAAGGCCCTATCTGGCTCTCACCTAATCCCCAGGATTAAATGTCTCCTGATCCCCAGCCCTGCATTGGTGACAGACAGGCTGGACCCCTGCAGGCTGGGATGGATGGCCACCATCTGTTAGGTCGTGGGGGCATCCTGGATGCCGATTCCCTGGCTGGCCTGCCGTCACGGCCAGACCCCAGCCTCTCCAGATTCCCCCCTCACCGGCTGGTCTGGATACCCTCCCAAACTGAGCAGACTTGCCTAGCTCCAGGCTGTGTGTCACGGAGTCCTAGGGCCTCCTGCTCACTGGGATGAGAAAGCCATGTGGCTGTGAGCTTCGATTCTGGGCTTTGGTCTTTCCTCCGCTCTCCCTCAGCTCTGTTGTGCTAAGTTCCCTTGGAAAGATCCGCCCCCCCCACCCCCCCACCTCAGCTGAACACAGCAGGAAGGTGAAGGGAGTAGGAGAAAGAGGGAGACAGCCAGGCTGGAGTGGACAGGTGAGGCCCTCCGTGCCCCGAGGAATCGGACACAACAGGTGTGCCTGGCCACACCCTGCCCCTCCAGCCCAGGGTGCCTCAGCCTGTGTAGGAAGTTCCTAGAAATGCTCCCAGCCGACTTCCTGCATGGAGTACCTTCACTCTGCCCTTCTAGCAACTTGGCTCTCTAGCCTCCAGTTTCCAGAGACAGAACATGTCCCCTTTCCATTTTATTTGTTTTTTTTTTAAAGGTTTTATTTATTTATTTGACAGAGAGAGACACAGTGAGAGAGGGGGCACAAGCAGGGGGAGTGGGAGAGGGAGAAGCAGGCTTCCCGCTGAGCAGGGAGCCCAATGCAGGGCTCGATCCCAGGACCCTGGGATCATGACCTGAGCTGAAGGCAGACGCTTAACGACTGAGCCACCCAGGCTCCCCTCCATTTTATTTGTGAAAGCAGGACCTGGCTGAGAAGATGGCGAGGCCGGCCCCCTAAGGAAGGACAAGAGCATCACAGTGATTGCTCAGGTCTGAATGCTGACAATGGGACAGGTGGAGACGTCACTTTTTTTTTTTTTTTTTTTAATTTCAAAAGCAAGGATAACTCAGACAGGCAAGAATGAATCACAGTACTTTAGAGAAGGCACCGGAGGGCCACATTATTACCCATATTATAATCCAACAATGCAAGAAAAGTGAACACAACAGGCGGGGAGGAATAATAATGCCCAATTATTGGGAATTTAGACCTGAGCTTAATCCAAGACCAGCTCACAAATCTGTAGTCTGTCAGGGTTGCATAGGACCTTACAGATCATTCATTCATTCATTCATTCATTCATCTGTTCACTTGATAAGTATTATTAGGCTGGAGGTTAAGTGTATAAAGATAAAAACAACAAATAAAACAACAATAACAAAACAGAGTGGTTTTTTTTTTGAGCCACCAGTTGAGTGAGAAAACCACTTTGCAGATGAAGAAACTCAGAGACTCAGGGCATTTAAGACATTTCTCTGAACCACGGCACACAGCCGCAGAGCTGAGCCTGGAACCCAAAGCCTTGCCCCCCGCCCCCTCTCCCCTACATCCTGCTGCCTCCTCCTCAGATAGAGGTTCCTACTCCGAAGCTGGTTCATCCACACCCAGGAGTCAGCTGTCAAAGGGACAGGACACACAGGGCGAGGGGCGCAGGCTAGCCCACACACCCGTAATGCTAACAGGTCGGCAGGAATGTTAAGACAATGGCTTCCAAGTGTTTTGGCCATGTTCTCCTATCAGAAAGAACAACTTGAAACATGAACATAAAAGGCAACGTGGACATTTGAAAAAGGATGGTAGGGGATGAAATCGTCTCATTTGATTTTTATGTGGCCAACAAAGATCTCTTATTTTGGGTGGAAATGTCACTCCAGCGTGCTTAGCATTCTTAGAGTTGCTCTGACTTATGTTTTCTTTGAAGTAATGATTTCTGGGCCACTTGCCTGTTTTTGTAAGGCTAAATTCATTAAGACTCAATACTATAAATTAGTTACACCTTGATAATACAAACCTAACCTGGCATCTGGAAACAGCAACATGTTGCCATAAATGGAAAGCGAAGAATGGCTGAGGGGGCCTGGGCAGGAAAGGGTTAATGGAGCATGCTCCCGACCCTGTCCTTAGGAGGGCCTGCTGGCCAGATTGACCCTTGGCTGGCGTCTGGGAACTTGGATTTGGGGACAGTTCCCACCGTCCCCTCAGTGATAAGAGTGACTCTTGGCCGGAGCTGTTTGGGCCAACACCACGGTTTATGCTGCACGCCTGCTTTCCTTCCGGGACCCTGGAATTTTGGTACGTGCTGAGCAGAGGGGGCCCAGGTGACCTGTCCCCAACAAAAATCCCTTGGATGGCGTCTCACACGTGTTGTCGCCAGTCACTGCTGGGGGACTCAGGGTGTCCCGTGTGATCTGCTGGGAGAGGCCCGTGGAAGCCCCGGCCTGGTTTCCCGTGGACTTTGCCCCATGTGCCTTTACCCCCTGTGGATTCTGCTCTATATTCTTTCTTTGTAATAAATCGCTGCTGTGAGTACGACCATGTGCTGAGTCCCCTAGTGAATCGCTGAACTGGGGGTGGCCTTGGAGTCCCTTGGCACACACCCCACTGTCGTCTGGCGTCATGGATCGATCAACCACACGGTTCTCTGGAGAGTTCCTTCATCTGACGACTGGACACTGCACCAGGGCTCCAGGGCCATTCCAAGTATTACACCTTAGTAAAGCTGAATTTCTTTCATATTTTTCTATATAAAAACCAAAAATAAATAAAAGCTATATTCTTGCGCGAGACGATCCCAGCAGGTCACCTCACACACTGTGGTGTTCATGCCATTTAAAGACAGCCCCACAGACCAGGATGAAACAACACTGGAGGAAAGAACTCTGAAAGCGGGACAATGGGACCCCCACCGGCAGAGCTGCCCACCACGGGCTGGCTGGGCCCAGGGTCTTCACTGAGCGGGGCGGGACCTCTGCAAAAGGGATGTTATTTCTCTTCCCACTCCTCCACCATCTCTTTGAGATGGAAATGGACTCTCTTTGCCTCTAAGGGCTCTCCCCGGGTTATTTCCCCCACTCTCAGGCGTCAACTACTTTCTCTGTGCTGACAAGTCCCTTACATCTTTCCCAGCTTCTGTCTCTCTCCTGAGCTCCGACCTGCATATGGCCCTGTCACCAGAGACCTAGGTGATACCTAGCTGTGTCATAAAACTTCATACTCCACAGCCAAAGTTGAGCCCGTTGGCTCTTCCTCTGAGCAGCTCTATTTCCTCCCAACTCAGGGAGTGGTGCCATTATCCACGCCATCCACTGTCACCCCAGTTAAGGACCTGGAAGTCTTCTCCCTTGGGGAATCCTCCCCACCGCCACTCTCCTCTCCACCCGCTAAGCCTGGCTTCTGCCTCACTTTCTGCCCAGACCATGCTTTGCCCTTCCTTGTGTCTGAGAGGCGAGGCCCCGTGCCCGCACCTCCTGGGCTCCCTCGCCCTCTGGCTTTCGGCTGGACTTGGAAGGTTCCATCAGGAGAGTGGAGGGTGCCAGGAGAGAGAAGATGGAGTGTGTGCTCCCTGCTGCCGCTGTTTCGGAGCTGTATCTCTGGCCGAAGCTGGGTCTGTTCACATGGCTCAGGCCCTCTCTGGGTTCTGGAAAACACTCCTCTCTCGATCCCTTCCGGCATAGGAGTAAAAGGGCTTCCTGTGGTTGCTAGTCCCCAGGTGCTTCGACCCCCATGTTTGTTTCCTTAACCTTCCTGCACCCCAGGAGCTAGTCCCTCCACTAGAGCCTCTCTGTATGACCCACGGTGGCAGACTCTGTCCTGCCAGGCAACGCCTGATGGCCATCTTACTGCACGTCTCTTGCTGTACACCCCCTCCTCCGTGTACTCATGTTGCCACCTGGGTCAGTCATGACAAGCAGGGCTCCAGAGTCAGGCTGACAGGGGTTCAAGTCCTGGCTTTGTCACTTGCTGTCGATGCGAACCTGGGCAGGTCGTGTAATGTCTTTGCGCCTTGATTTCCTCATCTGTGAAATGGGAACAGTGGTGCCTCTTTCTTCATAGAATGGTTGTAAGGATTAGATGAAC